ATGATATTTTTATTAATCAATTTTAAAAAAATAAGTGTAATCAACACAAAGTATTTTTATTGATAATGAAAATGAAATACATAATTTAGAACTAACAAAAAATTAAATATAAAAGTTTATAATAAATAGTTATACTTTTGGGTTAAATGTGTTAACCTTTAATGTCATAAATAAATAATAAAGATTAATAAAATATAAAAATACAAAAATAAAAAAATATATATAATTTTTTTTTGCAAAAAAAAACATTCAAGCACATTTATAATATCATGTATTTATCATATTAAACAAAAAGTAAGTGTAACATATCAAAACTATTTTTATACACAAAAAATACAAAAAAAAAATATAGAAAAAATTTGAACACATCTATAATTCTATATTTACACTACTATTAAAAATATGAATAAGAATGTGGAACTCTCTTTTGACTAAAATCAAGGTTTTAAAAACCGAGCCGAAAATCAGAAGCAGAAACATAACCACTTGGCTTCCGATTTCTGGGTCAGCGGTTCAACCATCCAGTTTGAGTGGGTCAACCCGGTAATATGTAAAATATAATATAACTTTTTTATTTTAACTATTACATTAGGATTAGGTTAAAATCCACCATATATATACATTATTATGAAAGGAGAGTGTGAGACTTTGATAAGGAGGTGACTTGTTAAAGTTGAGAAGTGGAAAAAAAAGAGAAGAAGAAGATAATGATGATGATGATGATGATGATGATGAGAAAGAAGCATCGTCAAAGGTGGTTGTCACCATGTTCACCGGTCATTGTTGCAGAATCGTTTTGCTCTGAAAAAAAGAAGAAGAAGGAATCGCCGGCAATGGCTGTCTCCATGTTCATCATCACCACCGATATGGCACCATTTGCCCTCTTTTTACATCTCTCAAAATCTCTCTCAAATCCCAGCTCGTTTGCTTCATTGGTGTATCTCATATTTTAATATAAAATAAGTGTTTAATCTCTAATCTCTTGCATCAATTTTTCAAAGTTGAAATTTTTTGTTGCTACAACTTGAAAATCAAAATGAAAAAACTAAAAACCCTAACTAATTTTGCCATTGAAAATAATCGAACAAGATTATGAGATATGAAAGTTTCTTTTTTCAATTAATTTATTTTCTAGTTTATATTTTAAAATAAATAAAAATTATGGAGCTAGTTTGAAAGAATCCCAAGAACCATTAACCGGATCAAACATTTTAATGATTAAATTGTTCAGGTCAGTGGTTCTCTAACCATTTCAATCATTTTTTTTTTGTAAAATAGTGGTTCCAGGCCAAAACGGAATTGGTGACCTAACCAATTCATGGGGCCAAACAATTTGACCATCCGGTTTTGTCCGGTTTTTAAAACATTGACTAAAATACTCATTTTTTTTAATTTAGTCCCTAGTAATTGTAAGGTTTAAATTGTAAATTGAATTACTTTTCACCTCATTCAATTCCCTTCTATTTAAATCTTACAGTTTTTTGGCAAATGAACAAAATAAAAAAGATATGCCAAAAAAATAAAACACTACAAAAAGAAGAGTCTAGCCAAGCAGATAGGATTGTTAATAATATTTGAAACTTCACAATTTGATTTGATTATCACATATTTGGATAAGGTGTTTATGTAATTAGATTTGAATTTTGCAATATGCATTTGATTAATAATAAAAAACAAGAAAAAATACTTGAAGGACAAAGGAAGACTGGAGGTAGGGAATCAATGGGGAGATTAGGGCAAAGAGGAGTGGTGAGACAGCCAAGTAGAATGAGTGGGGAATCTAATAATTGAGAGAATCAATGATCAAATGAATGAGTCCTTACGAGGGGGACCTTCAATTATAAGGAGGGATCCCGCAGTCCCAAAGGTAAGGCATTGAAACAACTTAATTCCCATTAGGAAAGGGAATATTAAATTCGATGTTGGTCTTTAAGGAACACTTTAGGTTTCGCCAAGTGTCTTATGAGATCTCTTAAGGACTGACTTTCTTTTCGTCCGAAGATTCTTATAATCCGTGTGTGCTACTTCCTTTTGTGACCTATTTAACTGACGTGGTACTGGTGACGTCATTGTATGACGGGTGCGTTCTTTTATTAAACCTATGTGGCACCTTATCACACGCGTAACTTGGAGTCACACGTGTAGCCATTATTTGACTCTAGTTCTCATTGACCCGTGGATCTGTAATGGCCTCGGGTTCATCGCAAGACCGTGCACGTCCGAAGTTCATCGTAGAACCGCGTGTATCCAAGATTTATCACAGGACCATGTGCGTTCAATGTTTACCGCGGAACTATGTGTGTCTAAACTTCATCGCAGGTTTTCCATAAGTAAAATCTGTCTTGACTCGTGTTGAGTACAAGTTCATCGCAATCGTGCGATGAGTCGTATGTTCATCACAAATGTTCGAGGAGTTATAACCTCATCACAGGTAATCGATGAGTTATGGACTCATTGCAAGCATTCATATGATATCAATTTGATATTTCATAGATTGAACAAGTACTACGTACCTACAATATTATTACTATAATTATCATAGTATAGAAATGTTGGAGTCTTATCCATGTGGGTATATTTCAGAAGTCCCAAGTCGCCTAAACCCTAGGCATGGGGCTTCTATACCTGAGGTTTTTAGCATAGCAATGAACAAATCAAAATAAGAAGAATATTTAGCCTAAAATCAGAGGGGTATTTACATTGTTCAAATACCAATTATCATAAGGAAAAACACTTAGCTTTTGAGAAAACAATCAGGGCAAATGTACCAACTGATAAATGGCTTTTGTGAAAAGACAGTGATGGTATCCATAGATCGGAAGTGCTTTGCTTTCAAAATGGAAATGAGCAAGGACCTTCCGATCAGGCAAGGGCCTAAGGTGCAATTCCTTGGAGAACTCTTCTTCCCCATTGGATTGAAGGAAACTTGCAATAGAACAAGGAAATTGAAACACCATCAATTACTTCAACAAAATATTGATGATGAAAAGGATTGCAGGGGATTCACCACTAAAAGTTAAGACTAAGCTTGAAATTTTGATGACGGAACACTTTCAGAAGTTGGTGAGAGGATATTTTTCTATTTGATTTACCATGCCTTGAGCATCTACCCAAAAGACGAGGGAGCACTTCATCTGCATTTGGATCTCTTGATTTTTCATTTGGGTCATTTACTACAAGACCTACATGGTTTTACGGATTATTACACTTACCCTATAGTTTTTATTTCACTAAAACACTTATATAGTTTTGATCCAAATAAAATAAAATAAATTCTGTTTAATTAAAATAAAATAAATTTTCTAAAATTTGGGGTTAAATTTTCTTAAAAATGTTTATAATTATGGGGTTGATTTTTCTTTTTTGTTTTTTTGAATTTTATGGTTTAATCTTTCTTAAAAATTCTTCAAAACTTTATAGGCTATTTTAAAAAAAAAAGAATTCCTTAGAATCTCTACTGTAATATTATAAATTTAAAAGTCGAAATCTTTCAATTTTTTTTCAAAGTGGGGGCTAGTTGTTATGAGCAAGAGCTTAAATGCATGACCCAATTTATGCCCAACATATAAAACTCCCATTGTTGAGCAAGGGGACTAATGTAAGATTTACAATAAAACTCGCATCAATGCATTCCAATTCCTAAGTATTCAACTTCTAAAATTTACAATATCAATTGTTAGTACCCCATTTGTGTTTAGTCTACCACCTGAAACCCCAATTTTCTTGAGCACCCAATAAGATCATTTCGATCTCTTTGAAACATCAAAAAACTTAAAGAATTTGAATTTTAGCTCAAAATCCCTCAAATCCAACATTAAATCTCCCCGATAACAATTCGATGGCCTTCAATTAACCCCCATTTACATACCAACAACCTAAGATTCCTTCAGTTACCCTTCCATCAAACCAAGGTTCCTTTCAAGCCCTCTTGTTAACCTGAGGCACCTGCAACCTAGATCTCTTTGATCCTAACACCATTGGACCAATCAGACTATACGATTGAACCCTAGACACACTAAAACATTTACCCTTGAAATTCTAACCCGCAATTCCCCCATTTGTTCCTTCATCAAACCAATATTCCATTTCAAATCCTCTCGTTAACCCAAATTTCCAAGATCTTGACCCCCTAAACTAATCAAACATTACTATCAGATCCTAGACACCCTAAGGTCCCTTCCTACAAAATTTCAGCCCAAAACACCCTTGATTGCTTCTTTAGTGCACCAAGATTCCGTTTTAGAGCTCAAAATTAATCAAATCAAGCTCTTTCTAGATTTGCCCAATCTAGACCCCTTGAACCAATCAAACACTTCCATTGGATCCCAGACATCTTAAATCTCCTACCTGCAAAGTTTTAACTAAAAATATCCTTGTTTGCCCCTTCATCACACAAAGATTCTATTTCGAAACTTTGAAATAATTAAATCAAGCCCCTTTCAAATTTGCTTGATCTGGGCCCTATTGGGCCAATCTCACGAATTGGGATCTTCTGCCAACACATGTTCCAACCTTCTACCAATGTCATCTCACATTGTACATCTTAACTTGAGATTGGGACCCACCGTAATAGTGGAACCCGCTATATATAAGATGTGTGGTGTGAGATGATACTAGTAGAGGGTAAGTGATCCGATCTCCAATCTGACCACCCCACCAATCAATCGCACAATGTCAAAAAACACCAGCTTGAAAAAATTTCGATAAAAAATACCCTTGTTTGCCCACTTATCTAAAAAGATTCCATTTTGTCTAATCTTATTGATCCCCACACATAAAACTTTCTGCATATACTTAGACCCATCCCAGTCCTTCACATTCAGATTCAAATTCTCAGCCGTTCATCAGGAATCCCAGTTTGACCCCTAGATCTGAATTGACCAAATTACCCCTATTTTCCAAAATTACAAAATTACCCCTAGAAACCCTAAAATTACCAAAATGCCAAACAGCGGCCGCGGCCCCTTCCTTATCACTGGAGTCCTAAAATTACACTGGAATCCTTCTTATCACTCGACGCTTACATCGGTTTTTATCATCGTTTGGGCTCCCCAATACCGACCACCGAAGCCCTGTGTTGTTCGCCGGCCGAGCAAAATCATTAGCAGTAGCCATCACCTCCAGCTTCGTCTCGACTTTGAACGAAACTTCCATCGATCTCTCCTCCCTTGTCAGTCTGTCGGTTGCAAGCCTCTACTATCACTGTTGCAAGCCAGATCGGAGATTCCATCCTCAAGCTTAGTCTTTAACTTTTAATGGCGAATCCCCTGCAGTCCTTCTCATCATCGATATTTTGTTGAAGCAGTTGATGGCGTTTCAATGGTCAGTCCTATACTTCCTTGTTCTATTGCAAGTTTCCTTCACTCCAATCTTCGCCGGATCCAGTGGGGAAGAAGAGTTCTCTGAGGAATTGCTCCTGAGGCCCTTGCCTGATCGGAAGGTCCTTGCTCATTTCCATTTTGAAAGCAGAGCACCTCCTACGGAGATCTATGGCCACCATCACCGTCTCTTCCCAAAAGCCATTTATCAGCTGGTACATTTCCTCTGTCTGTTTTCTCAAAAGCTAGGTGTTTTTTCTTGCTGTGTTTGGTTGCAGTGCAATTTTATTTGCACTGGTACAAATATATGGAAGTGCAAACGAAAGAAATGCAAATTTTGGTTTATTTTGTTCTGGATTTTACTTTGTTCTACTCTGGGTGTTATTTTACTTCATTTTTACTGCAACCAAACAAAGTAAGGTAAAATTTGAAACAAAAATCGAAACTTGCACCTAAATCATTTGCACTACTATAATTTCGCACCAGTGCAAATTCATTTTCACTGCAACCAAACACAGCCTTATGGTAATTGGTATTTGAACAGCATAAATACTCCTCTGATTTTAGTCTTTATATTCTTGTTATTTTGTTTTGTTCATTGTTGTGCTGAAAACCTCGAGTATAAAAGCTTTAGGCCTAGGGTTTAGGCGACTTGGGACTTCTAGCATAGACCCGCGTGGATAGGACTCCGGCATTTCTAATTTTCTTTGTGGCACAAATGATGAGGATAGCCTAGAATGCCGATTTCCTTGTTCAACCAAATTGCCTATAATTTGTTCTTCGCAAAAGGGAAAGATATTTATGACACTCAATTATGTATCCCGGGCATTTGGCTTGCTGTAATTTGGTAGTCCATATGCACCGGACTTCAAGTTGTAAAGATGGATAAATCACTGAAGTGTATATTTACTTACTGATTACTGACTAGATAAAATGGTTTATTTCAATTTGCATTGTGGACTTGTTCCCTATTATTGTGAAAAATTTGGACTACTAGTAGATGCTTGACAAGACAATGCTGCTTGACCAGGTCCAAAAGTTCCAAATTCGGGAAATGGAGTTGTCATTTACACAAGGCCGCTGGAACTATGAACGATGGGGTGGATTCAACCCCATCACAAGTGCCAATGCCAAGCCTCCTGGAGTAGAGTTGTGGGCCATTTTGGATGTACCTCCTGATCAGGTTGATGCTAGCTGGAAGAATTTAACTCACACTCTTTCAGGTCTTTTTTGTGCTTCAATCAACTTCCTAGAGTCTTCAACTGCTTATTCTTCTCCAGATTGGGCATTTCAGCCATCATCAAGAAGTCTTAGATATGGTGCATTGCCACGAGAAGCTGTTTGCACTGAGAACCTAACTCCTTGGTTGAAGTTGCTGCCATGCCGTGACAAAGCAGGGCTTGCTGCAATATTGGATAGACCATCAATTTATAGAGGATTTTATCATTCACAGCGGCTGCGGTTGACCTCAACTGAAGTTGGTTCAGAAAAAGGGATGGAATCCGGAATAGTACTTGAACAGACCCTCACTATTGTCCTTGAACCTGATGCCCAAAGACCTAACACGAATCATCTTGGTGGAAGAGTATTACAACCAAGTTGGTCTCTTAGATCAATTTTTGGAAGGGAAATCAGTGGACGATGTGTTCTTGCAAAGTATAGTACAGTATTCATTGAAGTGGAAAGGAATTTAGTCTCTGAGCTCAAGAAGCTAGGAAGAAGACGTGGGGTTGCTGAAATTGCTTCTGATTCTTGGACTGACCCATTTTTTGACTTGTCTGTTACCCCCGACAAAACCATTAAAGAGATGAATGTAACACATGGTGATAGCTCATCTATTCTTTATGAGTTCTCCACTGAAAAATACCTTGATTATGAACCATTTGATGTAGGGTTAACATGGAAGCTTCCTGTAGTGTGGTCAAGTCCTCAAGCACCATTTCGTGCTAGTAGGTTTTTAATAGGAAGTGGGAATCAAAGGGGTTCTATTGCAATTTCCTTGAAATCTACAGAACCTGGTGAGGGATTTATGAGCGATCTTGCTAGAGAAGGGTGTACAGTGCGGGTTGATGTTTTCCAGGTTGTGCCTTGGTATGTCAAAGTTTACTTCCATACTCTACAAGTTTTTGTTGACGGACGACACAGGAGGGTTACAGATGCACTGGAGAAAATTCATGTCTCACCATCTGAAGACAAGGTGTCACCCGGTCTTATGGAGATGGTCCTGAGGTTCCCTTGTAGTATGAAGTCAGCTACACTAACCATTGAATTTGACAAGGTATGCTTCAGCAATTGCTTTGACTTCAGCTTTCATGCAATATCTACACAAATGTGTTGCTTTAATTAGATATTAACATGATCTTTGGATACAGTAGCTAGAAAAGGAATCTAGTGAACCAACTTGTTTGATTAGATGATTCTAGAAACTGTTCCATTAACAGTTGATATATTTAAAAAAAATGTTGCTACCTAGATAAATTGACTATCAATAAATTTGTGAATTTTATATCTAAATTTCTAAATATCACCAAAGACCCACAAGGAAGAATGAAAAGATGTAAGTTCTTGTCCTAATGTAATTTTTTTTGAAGAAATTTACATGTTGAAGACTGCTATTTCTAGAAGGCCCTATTGCTGCATTGGGATTCAATTGAAACAAAAAAAAAGGAAAAGCTGATATGGTACCCACAAAGACCCACAATTAAATGTCCGGCACAACGATCTAATTGGCATGTTGAAGACTGCTATTTCTTAGAAGGCACTAATGTTGCATTGGGATTCGATTGAAACCAAAAAAAGGAAAGAGCTGATATGTTGCCCATATGGGCCAGTGCTTGGTGTAATGGTAAAAGCTCAGGCTGAAAAGCATGAGAATGTCGTTTTGAGTCTGAGAACAACCACTTTGTGTGGAAAAAAATGCCACCATTTGGTCTTTATCCATTTGACCCCTCCCAAGGCCACAGATGGCTGGGAAGATTGGATAATATGGCACCCATGTGGGTTCAATCCGAAGACCAGAAATTAAGTGCAATATTCTTTTTGGTAATCAACAGAATTAATTTCATTTATTATCAAAAGAACCTTGCTGCCCAAAAATTGGATAGCAGGTGTAATACAACAAAGCAAAAAGTTGATCAGTCTTCCTTAATAAATATCAGAAAATAGCTTTACAATGTTTTGCAAGGTCCCAGACATACCCTAAAGGTTCCTCTGATGTTCCTGATTTAGCAAAGTTGTGAGCCAGCTTATTAGCACTACTCAGAATCTGCCTGATTAAGCAATTTAGACTTCTTCCCAATGACTGAGCTTCCCTAAGGACCCTAGCTAAGAACCTGAATTTCAATGGCACCACACTTGCTGTACGCAGACAAGAGATTACCACTTGACACTTCCCCTCTACAGTTAAAATCTTCTATTATTCACCTGTGCAAAGTTGCAAACCTTAATCCTTGCATAACCGCCATTAATTCTGCCCTTAGGAATTACCAAATCCTGCTGGTTGAGAAGAAATTTAGTGTAATATTCAGGAATTATTACATGAAGAATCCAATTAACTTATTAATAATTAAGAGGTTTCTAAAATAAGGTTCTATGGATCATAAATTTTTAATCTTAAATAGGAATCAAGAGCTACAAACATGTGGTTTGCAGTCTGGGGTTACATTGGTTGCTGCAGCATTTCCAAAGGTTCAAAGCCACTGACAGATGATTTCTGCTTACATGGTGCCTTTACCAAAAATCAGCATGACCATAATAAAGGCAATGATGGGCTGGGCCTGCTTTTTATATGGTCATAGCAATGTTTCCAGCTGCCTGGGCCCAGGCCTGTATGCACATTGGGCCTCATATTATATGCCAGGGCCTGGTTATTTTCTGTGGGCCAGACCAAACATCTGGGCTTGTCCACATAAACTAATGAAATTAAATATATGGTAGAAATTTAAATTTAAATTTATATTCTAAATCACAAGTACCAGGCTTGGCCCACATTTATTTGAACTTGATGCAAGCCTGCTAGACTTGGATGAAAACTTTCTGTTTGGGCAGGGAAATTTTCTGGTTGGAGTCATTAGACAAACTGGGCCATTTGTATCTGGAAAGATTTGATTAATAGTTGTCAAGGTGCTAATGATCAAAAAAAAAAAAAGTTGTCAAGGTGATGTTTTAAAAAAAGTTGTCAAGGTGCCACCTAGGCACCTACCTAGGTGTCACATAGGTGATGTTTTAAAGAAAAACCTAAATCCTAGGCTAATTCCCTAGGTTGCATAGCAACTAACAATCATCATTTACTAATGATTAACATTAGCAGAAGACTCGCTCTTTAGGCAGTGCTGGTCCACTCCAAATGGCTTTCACTGAACATACAAGGTTAGGGTGGGGGTCCCCTAAAAGAGCATGAAAGAAGAACACACAAGAAAAAGATCTTGAAGCAATCAAAGTCCAAATTCTGCTGTTGGGTTAATTGGTATCAGTTAAGATCCCTTCCAACAGGTCGGACAATGCAATTATGCAATAATATCCAGAGTTTCAAAGTCCCCAAAACCCCTCCTTGAACCCAAATTCCAGGTCATCCCTTGGTTGGAGGCCAAGTATCTTAAGGGGCCATTGCTTTGTGCACCCTGGATGACAAGTGAAAGATCGAGTTTTGGAAATAAAATGCAAAAGCTTAGGTCCATATCCATTCAACCCCTCCCAAGATACTGGATAGCTAGGAATACCATTGTGTATGGCCCTGATTGACATTGTACCACATCTTCTCAATAAGTTGTGTTTTGGCCACCATGGAGAAGGTAGAATGATTGAATGATGATTTCGTTATGAGATGGATCCTCATTTATAAGGAGGGATCCTGAGGTTCCAAAAGGAAGGAGCCAAAAGTGTTTGATTCCCACTAGGAAAGGGAATATTGGATTCGTTGTCGGTCATTAAGGAGCACTACTAGGGTTTTGCCACATGTCTTATGAGATCTTTCAAGGACGAACTTTCCTTTCGTTTGAGGATTCTCATAATCTGTGTGTGCTACTTCCTTTCGTGACCTATTTAATCGACGTGGCATTGGTGACATCATCGTTTAGTGGACGCACCTTTATTAGACCTACGTGGCGCCTTATCACGCGCATAACTTAAAGTTACACATGTAGCCGATATTTATTTCTTGTTCACAGTGATCCCACGGTTCTATAATGGTCTCAAGTTCATTGCAAAACTGCATGCATTCGAGGTTCATCGCAGAACTGCACGCATTCGAAGTTCATTGTAGAGCTACGTGCATCTGAGGTTTATCGCAGAACTGCACGCATTCGAAGTTCATTGTAGAGCTACGTGCATCTGAGGTTTATCGCAGAACTGCGTGCGTTTAAAATTCACCGTGGGTTCACGTTAGCCAAAGCTTATCATGACTTGTGTCAAGTATGAGTTTGTCGTGAGCGTGCGATGAGTCGTATATTCATTGCAAACGTTTGATGAGTTATAAGCTCATTGCAGGTAACCGATGAGTTATGAACTCATCGCAAGCGTCCATGTAGTACAATTCGGTATCCTCTATACTTTGATGGTCTAAGCGATCTATGTACCTACAGGACTTATTAGGTTTTCTTTATTTTTATTTCACCTTTACTCTTAGTGTTTGATTGTGTGCATGATGTGTGATCTTATTATTATTATTATTATGATGATGATGATGATGATTATGATTATTATCGTTATCATTATCATTACCATTATGTCATCATCTTCTCCCTTTGGTGAGTTTATAAAGCTACAATATGTACCACAAATTTATCAAAGAAAATTCCCACTGTTTCAGTTGTTACAACTGATGGTAAATGTGGTTGTCCAAATTATATATGCCAAGGGATGGTTTGGAGCTTGCTAATATATGGTTTCCACATCAGAGATATCATTAACCAAAAGTTAACCTAAGTTAGACGGCCCTGAGCCTCTATTGTTTCCTCCTTTATACTTCTTGTTAATTTCTAATTTACAAAGTTGTAATATATTTGTAGGGATTTTTACACATCGACGAATATCCTCCAGATGCTAATCAGGGATTTGACATTCCATCAGCTGTAGTTAGATTTCCTGACTTCCAAGCAAGCACATATTATCTGAAAGACAACTCAAGAAAGTCAGCCCTATTGTCAAAATTCCAGGTAAATAATTACTTGGGTATGTTTTCTGGTAATTTATTTGGGAGATCTTTTGACCTTTCTTTAAAAAAATATGTTGATTGTATGGATTTCTCATGCAGGAAAAGAATCTTCTTCTGTCTTATACAGAAATCTTACTTGTGCCTCTTGCTACCCCTGATTTTAGCATGCCTTACAATGTCATAACAATCACATGCACAGTATTTGCTTTGTATTTTGGATCACTGCTCAATGTGTTAAGGAGGCGCGTTGGCGAGGAAGAAAGATTCTTAAAAGAAGGTAATACTAAAAGCAGGATAGGTAACACGAATCCTGTGCCACCATCATGCTCTATCAAGAGTCTTTTTTTTATTATTTTTTTTCAAATTGTTAGGTGCTTAAAATCATTTTTACCACTTCAGGACATGCTTTCTTTGGTATTACCCTTGCTTTTTTAGAGCCTTCTACTTACACCAAGTCACTCTTCACTGTTTCAGTCATTGGCAGTCTATGCACATGACACATGAACCTTAAATATGGTTAGTAACTTAGTAGCATCCACAGTGAAAATATGGTTAGAAACCTTAAATTTGGTTTGTATCTTATCTCTGTAAATTGATCATCTCTCTCTCTCTTCCCACTGGCTACTTATTTTCCCTTTATAAATTTGTTGATATGTATCAAGAAGTCTTGTCCAACCAAGAAGTCCCAGTGAAAATTCAATTATATTGGTTAATCCTGACCATTAAATCTGCGGACATCAATCTGGACTCTTATTTCGTTGTTGGTATTTTGTTTTCATGTTAATGAAATTTACTGATCTTCAAAGTTGCCATGTCTAGCTGTCACCTTTTGAGAAACCATTCTTGAGAGAACCATCTTCCTTGTGATGGAAAGAAGTTTCCTTGTGGACCATCATCATAATCTACCTACAGCTCATACTGTAGATAGAACACATGCAAAAGCTCTACTCTCTCCCTAAATCTCCTATCAGGTCAACCAAAAGCAAACAATATGTTTGTTAGGATTACCCAACCATGTAGATGTTTAGAGCATCTTTGTTCCACCTTAAAAAAATGCTTTATAGTTCATACACAAGCATTTCAATGATACCCACATAATTGATTATGTATAGAGCTTTAGAAAAATGCAAACCATGTAGATGCTTAGAGCATCTGTGGTCCCCCTTAAAAATGCTTTATAGTTCATACATAAGCATTTCACTGATACCCACATAATTGATTATGTATAGGACTTTACATTTCACTGATACCCAAAATGTAAACCATGTAGATGTTTAGAGCTTCTGTGCTCCCCCTTAAAAAGTGCTTTATAGTTCATACATAAGCATTTCACTGATACCCAAAATGTAAACCATGTAGATGTTTAGAGCATCTGTGCTCCCCCTTAAAAAAATGCTTTATGGTTCATACATAAGCATTTCACTGATACCCACATAATTGATTATGTATAGGGCTTCACGTTTCATTTACTTAGTTCAGTTTGGCTAGATGCTGAGTTTATTTAGCTGTATTCTACTTGCAGCTAGCATGAGGAAAGGTATGCTTCCTCAGCTTCTATCCAAGTTGTCTGCAAAGCTACGTGGAAAGTATAAAGATTCACCCCAGTCATCATCATCTTCATCATCCTTATTGAATCCAAAGCTTATGTTCAAGGTTGCCTTGGTGGCTGGGATTGCAGTTGGTTGGCATTATTATTTTGAATGATAGTCAGCGTTAAATCAACATGATACATCTCTTGTACAATACGTGATTGAAGCAGGAACAATTTTAGTGACCTAACCAAAAACAAAATGAAAAAAGAAAGTTCTCTCTTGTTGTCAGATGCTGTAACATTGAATTGTAATCAAATTTCCTTTGATATATTAGTTTGACGAACTGGTTGAGGATGGGTTTCTGATTCATTTAGCGAGTAGTCTCAAAAAAAAGTAACTGAATTTTGGTTATCTAATCTCGTGATCTTGTTGCTGTGATTGTTATGTCGTGTTTGCACCATGCAGCCCGCCAGCCACTGATGGAACAAGCAGCGAACCTGTGTTTTTGTTGTGTGGAAGAGACCAGACCCTGTGTTTTCTCGAACACATGTGGGTGGTATTTCTGTTACATTGCTCTTGGAATTGATGATGATGATGATAATATTGTTTATATCTGTTCACTGTCAACTTTGGCTGAACATCTGATAACATATGTAGCACTACTGGAGGACAGAGATAGAAAAACATGGAGGGAAGGTAGCTAATACAGTTCTTGGTAATAATCTGTATCAACAAACAGTTGCTCTTGTTTTTATTCCTTGTGATCACCTTTCTTGTTGTTGTTCTTAGTAAAAAGTTGCTACTGTCCTTGTTTTGTCTTTGCAGGTGTGAGCTTGTTAGTTTGGATTTGTTTGGTGTGAAGCATAGATTAATTAATTAACCCATGTTGTCTTCTAGTTGCTTCAACTGTTGTTAAGTTAGTTTGTTTGCTACTGCTTATATCCCTGCAGGGAGAGGGGCATACCTGTGATCAGGGAAGCTTGGTTAACAGATAGCATTAAGAAACAGGAAGTACAGCTACTAGAGGCTTATGACAATGGGGCTATTGCCTCTGTGTCAATGCACCGCTAGATGTTCCAATTCCACATAGCTGATAAGTAAGCTCAGTCTTTAATGCTGCTCAGAAAGCATGATTTAAGACTGTTCTAGGTTTCTCTTATTTATTATTGTTTGTTCATGTCATTTCCCCCAATCCCACCACTACTCTCTCTCTCTCTCTCTCTCTCTCTCTGGGTACAAAGAGAAGAAGAGAGGGAAAGGGGGAAGGAAAGGCATCCTCCCAAAAGACAAACCAAACCACCATTCATATATCAACCATGAGTCCATGCTTTCCCACTTAGACTTTTCTTGAATCCACACGTTCTTGAATATAACTTTCTTAGGAGAGAGATCATAAACCTTTGAGAAGATAGGCATGAGCTATTATGCAGATAATATGGGTTTCTGCTTTCAAGCGCCAACCTTCATTGAATGGGTCAAACCTTCAGTCTCTCCCTTTTCATCATCATCATCATCATCTTTTTCCACGAATACTCAGCAAGCTCAATCTCAATTCTCAATCCCCATGAGCTGCTTACAACTACCTATCTTCTATTAACAACAACAAGAAGAAGATTTCCTTCATCAAACTACCCAGTGCCTCCCTCTTCTAAGCAGGTTTGCTGAGTCTAAGCCCTTGAAAGAAGAGGAGATTGAAGTGCAAAAGGATAGTGTTAGTATTAAAGATGAGAAGTTAGAGAAGATTACTGTGGCCTTGCATATTGGACTCCCCAATATAGAAGATTCTGATGATGAAATCAAGTCCTTAAGTTTTAAGGAAGACAAGTCCATGAAGAAAAATCTAGAAGATTGTTCAATAAACACTGATAGTAGATTTTGGATCCCCACACCAGCTCAGATACTTATTGGGCCAACCCAGTTCGCTTGCTCCATCTGCAACAATACCTTCAATAGGTACAACAACATGCAGGTTAGTGATGAATTTCTGCATATTAGAATTTCTTCTTTCCATTCTTTCCCTTCTATTTTGTAATCGCTAATAACAATTTTCAAGTTATTTATGGCTATAATGAATGTCTTGAGTAAGCCTTTTACATGGTGGAAAAATTTGAAAATATGTCTTTATTTTCTTTCTAATCGATTTTCTTGAGGGGAATTATTTATTCCCTGTTTCTTCATTTTAAATTTTTGTTGCTTTCTGTGGTATCATTTGATGTGTTCAAGTTGGCTTTCTGGACTACTATTGTTTGTGTTTATTTACTTCATCAACTCATTATTTCTCTAACTTAACCACCTGAGAGGCTGAGAGAGGGAGAGACCCAAAAATAAATCAAAATATTTCTTATCCCGGTAAGCTTTTAATACAAAGTGTGATGCTACTGAATTATTCTCATCGCTATGAGAATTAATCCACATCTTTCTTATGTCATTTGATTGATATACCATTTATTGAGTTAGACTATTAAATTTTCAAGGTCATTTCTTTCATTCGCCCTCATGGATTACTGTTAACTGGTGCTAAGCATCAAAGAAATTACATTCTGAGAATAAATAGTTCAGATTCTATTTTTCTACCATTCGAGTAGAAAAGTCTCTTTATGGTTTTCCAGCAATACTAATGACCCAGCAAAAGGTACAAGATACTTGAAGCATCTCAGACTTCCAGGTGTTACAGTATGTCATTGTCCGTTTTGTCTAACAAACTAATAGTTCTTATTTAATCATTTATTTATTTTTGTACCATGTAAGCTTGATAGTAACTAGTAAGAGGGTCTGATCCATAGTAGACGTAAATCCTAATAATGAAAATTTTACTGCAATTAAATGGAGAATTTTTATCATATTATTTCATGTTTGCAGCACAAAAAAAGTTTTTCCATGAGATTATCTTAGAACAACGTAGTAAGGTTTCCAGTAGAAAATCTTGAATAAGATTTTGGTATAGATCTTGAAAATTTTTTACTTCCATAAGAGTTGTAACAGTCATCTTAGAGGTACTTGTTTTGTTTAATTAATTACTTTATTAATATGAAAAATCATATATTTCAGTTGAAATTAAATTAATAAATATTATTAGCCTATTAATGAAATTAACAAATAAAAACCCAAAAAACAAAGGAATTATGGTAATGATCATAATAGGGTGAAATATAAAAATTTGTCATTTAGATGGCTTTATTTATGAATTGTAAAGGTGAAACTTGCACCATGAACAGATGCAACATTACAGCATTGGGTTTATAAGCGTACAGGGTGCAACATTATACCATAAAGGTGATTTTGTATGGTACCAGTATCAGAAAAGGTGTTTTTGTGTCATAGAATTTGCATTTTATTTGTGAAGGAAATCTCAAGTTCAACTTTCGAATTCATGACTAGAAGGATATCTTTACCGAGTTTTTCTTTAGAGAATAATATTTGTGTGAAATTTTGGGATGTAGATGCATATGTGGGGGCATGGAGCACAATATAGAATAGGACCAAAATCGCTTCGAGGAACACAACCAACCGCAATGTTAAGGATTCCTTGCTACTGTTGTGCTCATGGCTGCAAGAGCAACATCAACCATCCCCGAGCCAAGCCACTGAAAGATTTCACAACCCTTCAAACACATTACAAGAGAAAGCATGGGGTGAAGCCATTTATGTGCAAAAAATGCAGCAAACCTTTTGCAGTCAGGGGGGATTGGAGAACGAAGAACTGTGGGAAGCTATGGTTTTGTTCATGTGGGTCTGATTTCAAACATAAGAGGTCACTCAAGGACAACATAAAATCCTTTGGAAAGGGTCACTTTCCATACCCTCCTAATGAAAATTTTGAAGAGTAATCACTGGATCAAGGAAGAATTGGGTTCAGGAAGACAATTATGATTATTAGTTTGTCTCCTAATTAATCCTTTTAATTGTTGGGTATGAGTTTACTAAGGTGCTCTTTTGCAAGTGTTTTGAAAGATTTTCCAGCAGACAGACCTGACAGCCAAAATACAATGTGCGCTTTTGCATTAAGACCTTGACAGTTTGAAAACTATTTGGTTAAGATATGTCTTTCTGCACATCTTTTCAAGTAAAGATGTGATTGATGAAAAAAGTCAAAAAGCTATATTTAGAGTTGGAGCTTTTAAAAAATAGCTCAAAACGGATTTTGTGTGCCTTGTTGGAGAGGTACCTTTTGGTGGCTAGATCTTTTTCCAATTAAACGGGAAAAGACCAAAACATGGGCTGCCAGATTTCTAACACAGCTGGCAGCCCACATAAAAAGACTTGCCAAACGGGGCCTAAGCTGTCTAAGCTTGTGCTCAGTAACAAAAAGTCTCAAAATGGATTTTGCATGCCTTTTTGGGGAGGTACCTTTTGGTGGCTAGATCTTTTTCCAACCAAACGGGAAAAGACCAAAACATGGGCTGCTAGACTTCTAACACAGTTGATAGCCCACACAAAAAGACATGCCAAATGGGGCCTAAGTTGTCTAAGCTTGTGCTCAATAACAAAAAGTCTCAACAAGTGTTTGATGCAAGAACACAAAAGAGAGAAGTTTGCTATAGGAAATAATGATTTGATGCTAGAGTTTGCAAAGTGGTTTGATCTAGAAAATGGTTGACATATCAATCACGGTCTTTAAATAGTTGAATTTTAGGAAAATTCTCGATTAGTACCTTGTACTTTGGGTTTAGTGTTACTTTGGTCTCCAAAATTTAAAATGCGACAATTTAGTACTTGAACTTTCAAAGCGTGACAATCTAGTACTTGTCGTTAACTAGCTGTTAATCAGCCGTTAAGTGACATTCTAAAAAGACACAAATGCCCTTTGAGTGTCATCTAATTTTTTTTATCAACTATGCAAACATTGACCAAAAAAATTAGTAGTCTCAAATCCTTTCTTCTTCTATTCAATAAAGTTGGAGTCACCAGAATGCCCACTCAAACGCAACCCCAACTTTTTTGAATGGAGGAAGCAAGGATTTGGGACTTTTAATTTTTTGTCAATGTTTAGATGGTTGACAAAGAAAATTAAATGAGGTTCGTAGGGCATTTGTGTCCTTTTCAAATGTTACTTAACAACAGGTTAACTGCTTATTAATGACAGGTATTGGATTGTCACATTTTGAAAGTTTGGTACTGGGTTGTTGTATTTTAAAATTTGAAGACTAAAGTGACACAAAACACAAAATACATGGTACTAATCAGGAATTTCCCTTTGATTTTCTTCACCCATCAGAATTTTTAGTACTATAAAAATTCAAGCATATTCCAAGGTTAGCTGTTCAGGATTATCAATCGAGTCCAATAGTTCGTGGGTATGGATGTGGGAACAGATTGTGGGTAAGAGATGTAGAGTATTTGGCGTGTGGCTAGGATTATTAATGAGGTCT